TCACACATGCCTTGCCAGTCTGCCTTTTCCCTTTGCCAGATTGTACAGGATAAAGTTTCCTCTCGTGCAGCTTTTAGGCTGATCTTGCTTAATACTGCGAAGTGGTCAGAGGAGCCAATTGTGCCCAGGGAAGAACAACTGACGTCTGATTCAGCTAGATCAGTAATTACTGGATCAAGGAATGAACCTGATATGTGGGTTGGGAAATTAACATGCTTTGTGAACCAGAATGTAGTGAGGAACTCCTCAAATGATCTTTCAACCAAGTGTTGGTTCAGATCCCCTAATATTATAGTATTTTTGCAAGTATGGAGGATATCCGGGTTGGCTTGAAGATAAACAAGTGGTTCAGAGCCTTGCCACTGGGGTCTGTAGCAGACACAGAGAAAGAGAGCATCACGTGTCTGTCCAGAGTTCAAGATGTTCTGCTACATCAATCTCAAGTGAGCATACATGGAGTGTTCTTCGAAGGCAGACACCGGTGCCTCCAAAAGTACCATGCATTCACTCATGTCTGTGCCACTTGGAATAACCACCAACCCTCCCAAAATTCTCAAGGACTGTGGAGATCAAGGAAATTTCCATAGCAGCAATGATGTCAGGTTGATGTGGGATTATGTGGCTGTGTGTGAGATCTCCCAAGTTCATTTGGAAACCTCTAACATTAGTGGAGAAGATGCACAGGAGGGCCATTCCTCTGTGGTTGCGAGGCATAGTACTAGGGACCTTGTAGAGTTAGTGGTTTGTTGGTTGGGTGGCTGAATGGATGGTGTTGGCCAGCCATTGGCTTGCAAGGAAAGATGTGAATTGTGTGGAGTGTATGGCGTCAAGTGCTTCTGTCTTGCTTGCACTAAGAGAGCATTACTTTGATGCTGTTCTGCAGCAATGCATTGGAAGATGCGTTCTTGTCTTTCCTCTTGTCTCTTCATACGACACTCAGAGGTTTGATGTCCTCTACGATGGCAATACTTACATTCTTTAATCTTACGGCAGTTGTTTTCGGAGTGACCCTTGATTTAACAATAATTGCAGTAAAGAGTCTGCCTGTTTGATTTCTGCTGTCGATTATGAGTGGTCGTCTGAAGGTTACGGGGACTCTATTTATGTTGTGTGTGAACCTGTGCTTGGTTCAGCCGGGCCTGATCTGTCTGTTCCTGTTGAGGTGGAGTTGTGATGTTTCGAATGTCAGGCTGAGACAATGACAACTGATGTGGCTGTTGCAGCTGTTGAGATGAGGTTGGTTGTAGGTATGACTGCTATTGAGGTATTTGTGATGAGGCTGCCTGATAACCAGTAGCCTGGTCAATTTTGTCAGGTTTGACTGTACTGGCTATAGTTTTAAGTTTAATTGCACTGATAGTAGTTGTAGCAATAAGGCTGCCATAAAAGTTGACGATGGAAACAGCAGCGTCCCATCCACATGCTAAGTCCTGAGCTGGGTTACTAAGAAATTCTTTTTGGGCAAATCTGTTCTGAGTTGCAAGATTGTTTTTATGAGCTCTCAAGGTTCAAGCTGGAGAAGTTCTTCCTCGCTGGTATTTGCCCCACTGTCTTCCTAAGAGGGTTGGTCATCAATGTAGAGGACTAGCGCTTCGATACCGAGAATAAACCGCAGGTTTTCGGTTTCAGAGCATTCGAACACTCTGGATCTGAACACTTGACTGACGGCACTCTCGTGGTATGTATCCAAACAGCCAAGGACGAGCAATACGAGCGTGTCGTCTCGATTCTGACATAATGTCACTTCAGAGTTAGTTCATTAAAATTGCCTATACTTAGAAGGAATATAATTAAAAGAATGCAATATATACATATATATATAAATATTCTACTATAAGAGGCAAATGCAAAACACTCACACTTAAAACGTAAATAATACGGTAAAAGATAAATAATACATTAAAAGTGTGTCACAGTCACACCCACTCAAACTATCACACATCCCTCTGCTTATTACATAAATATAAACATAGATGCCTGTCCATTGATTTGTATATCAATGGACTCACATGACCCCGAGATTTTACAGTTTCTTGTTGGTCGGGTCTGAGGGTTGCCATGAGACGCCCTAGTACTGGGAAGAGCCTACGCCTAACAGTTGGTTTTCAGAAAACCGAAAGTGTCTCCCCGTCTCAAGAACACTACCAGTATATCCACGTGCAGAGCCTCTAAGGTTTGTGGATAGTGACTGCTCTGGTCTCTAACGAAAAGTAGCAAAAGGGTCATTATTAATAAATAAAGACAACAGCCATACATGAATAAGATGCCCTGCAACGCTTTATAGTCAGGCTCTAAAGAATCAGTAGGAGCGCAGTTATACATGCAGAGCGATAGTTTGGTGCTACTCTTGTTTGAGAGAGGGAGAGTGGCGCTTATGTAAACAAAGAGTGACGCTTACACCTGCTAGGGAAGCGGGGGGGGGGGAGGTAATTCGACATCTTTCTTCAGTATTAATCTGTTACCAAAGGCTGTAGGTACACCCCAGGGATCATGGGTAACTCAATAATAAGTGAGTAAAAAATCAAGTGTGTAGAAAATCTTGAACATATCGTGGAGCCTGTGTCTGTGCGTACTCTCTCTCTCTCTCTCTCTCTCTCTCTCTCTCTCTCTCTCTCTCTCTCTCTCTCTCTCTCTCTCTCTCTCTCTCTCTCTCTCTCTCTCTTTTCTTTCTCTAATATCTGACACCTATGAATTTCACGAAGAATGAGGGTACACTCAGAAGCATTTGTATTACATGCGGAAACCCAGTGAAAGACATAAAAAGAGCATACCGTCACATATACGTTTGCTCTCACTCCCGCCTTCCCTTGAGTCAAACATAGAGAAACCCTGTTATTCTGAGCCATTCAGTTAATGGACATCCTTATTCTGTAAATAAGTTAGCGGCATTTGTAAAATAATAATAATAATAATAATAAATAAGCATTTATAAAAACCCCGTAATTGAAAATGATGTTTGCCGATTATGCCGAAATAGAGACGTAGTGAAAAAAAAAATTGCTGGCGATGGGGTTGAACAAGTTCAATCCCATCAAACCCCCCACCCAGTACCCCGGTCCATCCGGGACTTCCCGCTGGCGATAGTCCTGCCCCTCCGTGCCCCTACCCTGGCTCTACCCCTGCCCTTTCTGGTCCCAGTACAGGGATATTCCCCAGACACGACTAAGGGAGATGAAAATCAGCAACGCATTCATGCTCATCGAATTCATGACTTCATTCATAGAAATGAGGGCTTACATGTCGGAGGTGCGTGAGAGAGTGACAAACCCGGAGGAGGGGCGGCCGCCGGGAGAGGAGGAGGTGGTCACCGAACTCCAGCAACCTCCCTTGCGACCACACAAGTCCGACGGGATGCTGGCCGGGGAACCTGTCGCCGCCAAGTACCAATGGAAAGCAGTGATCGAACCGGACCATCTAGATCAGGGGTGTGCAACCTTTTTTCCCAAAGGGCCACTAGTCACGACTCTGTTGGTATGGAGGGCCACATAACCTTACTATTTCATGTTATTTACTTCGGTCGAAGACATATTATGTGAGATTATACTGATAAAGGTAGGAAATAATTTTGTTACTGATTTTATTTATATTGGGATCACAAAAATAAGAATCCTCCGAAATAAATGCAGTACGTGAACCATACGTGTCAGACTCATAGACAGACAGCCAATGATCACTCAATCTAATAATTAAAAATGTCAAGTAATATATTATGTTCTGTTCTAATATAATTAAAATCTGTACCTTAGTGAACGAAATAGAAAAAATATGGTGATACTGGTACACGAGAATATGAATTTTGTCAAACTTTCGGTGGGCTCTACTTGGTAACTCACTCTCTCTCTCTCTCTCTCTCTCTCTCTCTCTCTCTCTCTCTCTCTCTCTCTCTCTCTCTCTCTCTCTCTCTCTCTCTCTCTCTCTCTGAGGGCCGCACTATAGTTTATTTATTTTTAGGAGAAAGGGCCGCAATGAAAGCCTTTGAGGGCCGCATGCGGCCCTTGGGCCGCAGGTTGCACAGGGCTGATCTAGATAATAGTATTAAAGGTCTTGGAAGAGAAGCGAAAGAAAATCTAAAGAGAAATAAAAAGTTCAAAATGTGAAATTGCATGAAGCCTTAAGTCTGTGTGAGGAAACGGCACCAGCGGAGGAGACCTAAGGAACGGCTTCGGAGGTCGAGGAAGGGCGCGGGTGGCGTCAATGACAGCAGCACTCACATACCTGGAGGAAGAGGGCGAGGAAAAGCGTGGAGGAGGAGGAGGTGGATACTTTTAGGGACGCGCTGACCCAGGCGATACCGACGTGGAAATCCTATCACGAGGTAAACAAATTCATCATAGAGCATTTTCTGAGGTCTTCGTGATTCCCGAGACAAAACTCCGGGATAAACAAAAATTGAAGGATATGTTTTCTTTTCAAATAACAGAATTCCCTCCACGAGAAGAATAAGAGTGCAACGATGCGGGCGAATGCATCGTCAACAGCCAGGTATTCCCTCCCTCAGTGCAGACACAGATGTTTCTGTCGCTAATCTTGGCATTGATTATATCACGAGTAATTGTGACGGATTGCAGTATTCTCTTAAAATTTTCTTGATAACTGCAATTTAACTTCCACTTGGTGGGCGTGTAATTATCTCAGCTAGGATAAACAATGAAAGACAGACAAACAATGAAACTGTTAATGTGGGCCACAGAGTACGAAAAGAATCTTGTAAGTTTTTGGAATGAAATTGAAAAGATAAAACCAAAGGCAAATGATGAAATTCCACTAGAGGTATATGGTGATGAAGGAAACGCAATAAACGATATTGAATATGTAATGGATAAATTGAAATGATTTGTATTGCATTTTTTATGAAAATGTCAAACTAGATATTGGAAGTTAAGCACAGGCCTTCATATACAAAATATGCCAAGACCTTTCAATCAACCAATCCAGTTAACAGACGTTTTTAGAGTTATTTTATAGTGCAAAGATTGGAAAAGCACTCAATGATGATATTGATCCCTTGCCGGACCAAGCCCTGATATATCCATAGATCTCTTTAAGTTTGTTTTTTTGAGCATGCTTCGAAAATGGAATCCAAACCTAATATATTCGGTAAAGGGAACAATCACTCCCATTACAAAATCTGGCAAAAATGACCCAAGAATTACACATATCAACAGAGGCATTATGATACTATCGAGTGTTGGGAAAATTCTGTCGGAAGAACAAAAGGGATTCCGTAAGAATCGAAGCACCACTGAACTCCTTAATCCAATTATAATTATATGTAAAAACAGCCTTAAAGAGCGCAAGCAAACGTTCTGTTGTTTCGTGGGTTTACAGAAAGTATTTGATTATGTGGATCGAACTTTCCTGTTTACAAGATTATTGGAAATAGGTATAACTAGGTGTTAGGCAGAGTGATACACTGAGCCCTACTCTCTTCATATTGTTCATCAACTAATTGGTAGAAGAAATAAAACGAAGTGGAATCGGTGCAGATTTCATCACAATTCTAAATAGCTGGTATAAACGACGGGGACTTAATGTATACAAATCAAATACTCAGATTTTACATATTAGAAAACCAAATCATTCACGCTCAGAATTTGTTTTTAAACTAGGTAATGGGGTTTTGCGATATGTATTATCTTACAAGTACTTAGGTCTATTGTTTGATGAGCAGATAAACTCTTCCACCCTTACCCACGATTTTCTACCAGATGTTCGAAAGCACTAGGATCTTCACTAGCACACTTCTATGCCAATGATGGGATGGGGTTTTCCATCTTCAAAATATTCGAAGTCTGTATAGCTAAGTTATGTGGCGATAGTGCAGGTGCGGTGAATGCGGTGCCTTTTCCAAACTCGATAGTGTCCACAGTCGAGTGTTGAGATGTCACCTCGGAGTACATAAATAAGCTCCTTCGGCTGTGGTCGAGGGGGTCTCACCTCTCCGACTGTTGGGAGGAAATTAGAAATGCTACGGTTCTGGAACCACTTACTAACACTTGACATTAACAGGTTGCCAGAGATACTGGAGGCTGAATTAAAAAATAGTCGGTGTTCAGATATCAAATCTGTTTTTTTGTGAACTAGAATGTGAAGATATTTATCAAAATAAAATGATGCTTAGTTATAGAAAATATAATAAATAAATAATTTAGTTTGATTCCATTTGTTACAATGGATAATCTTGGTGTGACATACTGTCTGTTTTATTTTTCTTCTAAATTATCCCCTGTGTGGAAGGAATGGCCGGGGTTACCATCCACTGGTGGCGAGGGATTCGAACGCAGGTCAGCAAGATTACTAAACGAGATCGCTACCGCTGCACCACACAGCACACGAAAATTGAATAATGTATACCAAAGGGATCTACTTCAAGAAATCAGTTCAAAACCAAAACTAAGAACACACAAAATCTTCTAGAGAGATTGTTATCCTGAACCATACATAATGAAACACATGGCTCGGAAGAAGCCATGCGCAGTCCAGGATAGGAGTTCTTCCATTGAGAATAGAAACGGGTCTATTCACGAATGTACCTCTGAATGAACGTAGTTGCGAATACTGTGATGATAATGAGATAGAGGACGAAATTAATTTCCTTATATGTAATTTGTACAGTGGCATGAGGCAAGAACTGATGCAAAAAATGTTCGGTGATGAAAAGAGAATTTATAAATGAAACTACAATATCTGATATATTCAATAAATTTCATTACAGCAGCCTTTTACGAAATAAAAAGTTCATAATTATTAGACAAACGTAACTTGTTCTTAGCATTTTTCTTTACTGTATTTCAAATTTAAAATGCTGTTTTATATGTAATTGATATTTTAATGTACTATCTTATAAAATTGCTTCTAGATATATTTTAAGGAGTGTGTAAATATATATTAGATAGTAACTGAGCAAGTCCTCATTGACTGGATACATGCAGTTCAATATATTAATCTTATTATTGTATTTTTATGTAAAAATTGTATCATTCTCATTCTCTCTCTCTCTCTCTCTCTCTCTCTCTCTCTCTCTCTCTCTCTCTCTCTCTCTCTCTCTCTCTCTCTCTCTCTCTCTCTCTCTCTCTCTTCCTCTTCCTCTTTTTTACGTTTTTCAAATTATTATAATTGTTAAAGTTTTAAGAAAAGTTTTTTTTTTTTTTTTTTTGGGGGGGGTAAGCAGATTAGATTAGTAATATGGCATAATGCCATATTACACTGGTCAAGGGTCTTTGAGCTTAATTGATGAAAAATAGAATATTAAATGAGGGAGAACCTTTGCACCCGAAAAAAATGTTTATAAAGTGTGGCATCGAAAAACCCAGACACTAAATGTAGAAATTACAAACCTAAAAAGCCTTTAATTCAAATTTCATTCCTCCTCCCCCCCTTCGAAACGGTACTTTTTCTTTTCTAGTTTTGTCTTCTTCATGGTCAATGGTGATTCTTCTGGTTTTACTTCCCATCCTTTATGTTATAGCGGTATTTCAGACACGTTAGAAGAGGCAGAGA